ACAGAACAACCCGAGGAAGAAAATATACGTAACGAAAACGAATATAGAACGACCACGCCAAAATCGGCGATCGAAATGAACGACACGAACGAAAGCGGAAGGAAGCGAAAGTAACGATCGAGAAGTCTAGGAAGAAATCGGAACCGATGCGTTCCGTCGCGATATGGAAAAATAGATTCGTCGATTCTCCGATATGCCCATGGTTGCTGATCGTGATTAATACCGCTGTCCAAAAAGGACCGAGTTAAGCGTAAAGTCGGAGGGACGAGTTGGACTCGAGTCGAAGTTTTTTCTTTTTTCCTTCGTTCGTTATTTCCTCTTGTCGATCCACGATCCGCGATCTCCGGAGATCGATTATTGCTTTCGTACAGCTCCCGGGGGACCAGCATGGCTATCCGATCTCACTTCCGCGGCCAAAGAAAAAAGAAAAGAAACGGCAACGATCGCGACACCCGTGGGAGATAAAGCGACTCTCGTTATTGCGATCCTTCCGTGATTCCTTCTCCCGGCGATACCGTATTTTTAACGCTGCGCGAGGCCGCAGCGTGTCTATTTATTCCCCCGTGAACGCGACGACCACTTTTCGCCGTGTTAATCTTTCCGCTCCAGCGCGCCGCACGAAAACCGCTCGACGGTGGACGACGGACGATGGACGGGACGAGACGCGTGTCACCCGCGCGATCCCGTTGCTCGCGACGCGCGGACGCGTTCATTCGAAATCGGCCGAAATTATCCTCGGGTCGATTCTCCGGGAAGTTTGTATATCGGCAGCCATTTCGGTCTGACGTCGACCGTGGGAATCCGTCGAAACGAAAGCAAATTATTCGACACTTTGACTATTAAAGGTTAAATTCAATTGACTATTAAATTATTTTTTGTAAATAGACAATTGGACCGTAGAAATCCGTCGAAACGCCCACAAATTATTCGACACTTTGACTATTAAAGGTCAAATTAAATTGACTATTCAATTATCTTTGGTAAATAGACAATTGTCGATACTGCTGTGCGGTCGAGACAGTTACCTTCGTTAAGCAGAAATTAGGTCAAGATTCTTCGTAATGATTGCTCTACTTTCTTGTATCTCGTACAACAACATTCCGTATTTCGATACGTCACCAAGAGAATGTTCAAGTTTATGTGAAAAATAGAGTCACACGAATTTGAGTGACATATTAGTCGAAGTTTTATGCGATAAACTAATTACATGGAATTATATGAAGCAGGAATGCTTGGATCTCTTGTCTTCTTAGTATCAGCTCTGAGTTTATACCATTTTTTTGTTACAACACGATAGATTCCGTAAGTCTTAACAGTCCTATGTCGAGTCAGACTCTACTTTATTGCAACCTCTACCTGTTCCAACAATTTTTTCTATATTTATTTGTAGTATCACAATTCTACCATTTAAAGGTAACATTTCAATGACTCCCAAATATCCTTCAATAAATAAATAGAGCGTGATATCAAGCTGTAACTGAATGAACTAACATCGACGTTAGTGAGACTCAAAGTGAGAAGCCAAGAACACTTGATCTTGAAAATCAGGGGAAAAGTTGTAGGGTATCAATATCAGACCTAAACGACTACAAATATGCAAAGCTTCAGAAAGATCGATTTTAGGTAATTTCGGCTGATCTCGAATCAACGCGTTTTCCATTGCTCCGAGCAGAATTCTGGACCGACGAGTTCCCTTCTCTCGAGTAAAACGAACATTCGAAACTCGACGGTCCGTCCCGAGTTGAATGTCGTTCAGTTTATCACAGCAACCGTTTCTCCCTATCCATCGACGGAACGAGACGAAACGGAACGAGACGAAACGAAACGAAACGAAACGGATCGAGAACGCGGACGCGTCGTGAACTCAGCGCGGTAGAAGTACGCGAGGATCGTCTCCTTCACCGAAAGAGTATCTACGTTGAGCAACTTGTCCTTGTGTTTCATTCAATCCTTTTCCTCATCTTTTTCTCTTTTTTCTCCCATTTTCTCTCATTTTAGCTTCGGCCCTAAAAAACGGGAACACGAACTAAACTACGACCGAATAATAGTACACGATCGGCCGTCGAAGATACGATTCTCGAACGAAGCGAGGGGCTACTTGTCCATTAACAATAATAAATCGTTTTGTCTTTGTCATCCCGGAGACTCCCCGACGATGCTCGTCTCTTACATCCGACGAATGATTGTCGTTCTCGTAAAATCTGAACAGCGCCGCGCATTCCGAAACGGTTTCCGCAGCGAGAAAAGCTTCCGCGTTATTCCCGAATAAACGATTCGCAATCGAGCCGAGCCTCTTTCCGCGTGTTCGACACGCGACGGCGTTCCGCGGCCCGGTCTTCGACCGGCCGCCATTGCGGCTCGCTTCCCGTTACCGGCTAATTTGTAGGTTAAATGGCTGCGTGCACGCGCGCGGCTGTGAGCATCGTTCGATTCGTATCATTCGGCTGTTCGATGCACGCGTCGAGA